AGTCTATAACATGTTCATGCCCTGAATATACCTGGGACAGGTTCTGCAGATGTGCTCCATTTTTCGCAAGGGGGTGTACATTGGAGAGGAGTGTAATCACTGAACTCTTTGTTACTGTGTATCTCTTAACACAACATATAATAGAATGATCAGATCTAATATTAGAATTCTTACATGTTATGAGTAATATGACATCAGCACCCCAGTTCTTCAGTTGGATTTAAGGTTATTAAGCTCCACCATTGCAGGATCTTTGAGGCATAAAGCTTGGAGGCTTTGTTTCATTTTACTCTGGCTAAATTAGGCATGAGAATGGAAGTTGGGTTTTTCACATGCCTGCTGTGTTCATGTATGAAGTGTGTGTGGGGGGAGGAAGGTGAATTTGTTTGGGAAGTTAAATATCACAAGAGGTGTGTTCACTGAAGGGAGCTGAACTTTACTCCCTTACCCTGTGGTTCATTGCCCAAATCTGTGGTCCATTACTCTCAGGTCCATTGCCTCCCCAGTCTGAGCTGGGAGACAAGTACCTGGGGCAGTGGACCATCAGAAGGGAAGGAGGTGCAGGGTTCGGCTCGCCTCATCTATGTACGTATCTTATCTATGTATCTCTTTCATCAGAATTAGATATCCTGAGCCACTGAATGAAGTAGACACACATGATTTCTGCCATCTGGTCTAATCTGGCCCCAAGGTCAAGTTTTGGGTTACCAGTTTCACATCACAGTTGCATCTTTATAGTGGACTAGTGGGCTTGGTAGCTCCGTGAATGATTGATATTGTGATTCAGTGAAGTCATTGGTAGAAAGGCACTAGTTTGTGTTCATTTGTTGCGGCTTCTGTTCAGGCGCACATGGGGCTGCATGGTTGCAGGCCAGCTGTGGAGAAGAGCTTCCAAGCTTTTCGGAACAAGCTTCTAGGCTCTGGAGTGCTCCCCCAATCCTCTGTCTATAGAGGTCACTTTTCCTGCTCAAAGGGTCACATGACAGTGGTGGGGCGAGAACTTCTTCCCTCAATTCTCTTCTTGCTGCCATGAGGAGAGGACGTGCTTCTAAGCTGCTGCTTTGTGGGGCCTCAGGAATAAAACAACAAGGTTTTCCATGGAGAACAGTGAACACTTTCAACCTACAAATAGGTAGGATGGCTCTATTTAAGAGGTGCGGAGAGTGTGGGGCAAAAATGGCCCCAAGGGATGATCATTTCTCATGCCTCCTATGTTTGGGAGAGGGCTGTTCTCTCAAGGACAGTTCTGGAAAGAGCTCTCTCAGCCCCACCTACCTCACAGGGTGTCTGTTGTGGGGAGGGGAAGGGAAAGGAATTTGTAAGCCACTTGAGACTCCGAGTGAAAGGGCGGGGTATAAATCCAATCTCTTTGCTTCTTCTTTTTTTAAAATAATAAGTATGTAGTTAATTTTATCCTTCCTTTCCTGTGAAGAGCTCAGGGTTGTCGTACGTGGTTCTCCTTCCTTCTTTTTAACCCCACAAGAAACATACGAGAGTGGTTGGGCCCAGGGGAATGTGACCTTCCAGAAGTCACCCAGCAAGCCCCGTGGTAGGTTGGGGAAGTGAACCTGGGTCTTCCAGATACTAGTCTGAGGTTTGAGTGACTGCATCACAGTAGCTTCCAGCAGGTAGAAACTGGTTGGCAGTTTTGTGTCCACACAGATATGGTGTAGCTTCCAATTGAGGAGGAAGTTCCCTTTTCCAATTGAGGAGGAAGTTCCCTTTTCCACCTATATTAAAAAAATATCTGAGCAAAATTCTACTTAGTCTAACATAATGGGGTTTTTAAAAAATCCACTATAGTAGTAACTGTGCACACGAGGCCTATCTTGCATTTGATTTCTTTAAGACTTATTAAGTTTTCTCTTGAGGTAGAATAGGAGATGTTGGTGCCTACAATGTGGAAAGTTTTTTTTTAAATGTGAGAGGAGCTACTGTTATCTGTCTCACTGTTAAGCTTTTGGCTGGGGCACCGATCCTCTTCTGGGAAGTTCACTACACACAGCTACTGTTCATCCTTTCATTCTCTTTAATAAGAATGACGATTAATGCACAAAATAAATAGCCTTTGTTTGGCATAACTTGTTATCCCCCTGTGCTGATTAACACAATACTTCCAGTTTTAGAGAGAACGCCTCTAAGCCTGTACAGCCACCCGTTGTGTGAATTGCACATCCCCAGCCCCCAAGGTAGATGGGCCAAGTGCTTGAAAGCTTTGTTCTTCTGTTGTTGCAGGCACCAGATCTGCAAAAACAGATTTTATCTTGCTCTACCAGACATGACTAGCAGCCAGTGTTTCCCTAGTTGGGTCATGAGTTGTGATGACCCTGGCTGTTTTCTGTCTGTTTGTTGCTGTGTGTGTGTGTGTTAAGTGCTGTCAGGTTGCTTCCAGTGTATGACCTTATGAAGTAAAGCCTTCTGAGATGTCCCATCATTAACAGCCTTGCTCAGGTCTTGCAAACGGAGGGCAGTGACTTCTTTTACTGAGTCCATCTCATGTTGGGACTTCCTCTTTTCCTGCTGCCTTCAACCTTTCCTAGCTTGATTGTCTTCCGGTGACTCTTGTCTTCTCATAATGTGACCAAAGTACAGAAGCTTCAATTTAGTAATTTGGCTTCTAGGGAGAATTCAGGCTTGATTTTATCTACAACCCACTGATTTGTCTTTCTGGTGGTCCACAGAATCCATAAGACTCTCCTCCAACACCATATTTCAAATGGAGCAACTTTCTTCTGTCTGTCGTAGCAAATGATTAATTTCCCAACTGGTTGAGGGAGACGTATGCTTTATTTCTAAGTAACACAATATATTTTAAAGTTATTGCCTAAATAGTAAATCTGTTAATTTTCAGAAAGGATACAAGATTTTTTTTTTTAAATCACCACTTAAAAGCATTAGCGATGGAACACTTAGTGTTAATACTCCCCCAGTTTTTTTCATTACTCGTAGAAGCTCCATCTCCTCTTATCCCCTTGCCACCAAGGTCCTGCTAGATAAGTTCAATGGGCATCTGTGAGTAATCACAATGTTTTCATGTCTCCTGTTTGATGGTTGTGGAAATGCTGTCTAGGACAGAAGGGTAATAACTAAGGTTAACGATGCCCTCTTGAATATCCAAGGGAGAGTGATGATAACAGAATCAAAATCTGAAGGTACAGCATCAAAGATAAAGAATAGTGAAACTACCTCTTGCTGTACTCAGACAAATTGTGTTCCTAGAGGCCAAAGTAAAGACCACTGTTGCAATGGTTCTTAAACGCCTTGTTTTGATAAGTCTCGTGAGCATAGCTCTTGCTTTTCTACTTTTAAATTACCGTCTGTGCCATTATCTTAGCTTCTGAAATGGTGGTGGTTCCACAGGGAAAGAAGTGCTTTAGTCTGTTTTGTAATAGGTTTGGGTCTTAAAACAACAGATTTGTAATAGGTTTGGGTCTTAAAACAACAGATTTGTTTAGAAAGCAGCCTTAATCTGTGAGGTCATATCTGTAATTCAGAATTTTCCAATCCAGCCTTCATAACCATTTTGAGACTCTATTGTGTTGCATTAAAGAAGTGACACAGGTTTCATTAAGAATCAGTAGATGAATTTGCAAACTTAATTTCCATTCCCCCTAGCTCTTAGTCATCGGACAGCTATCACACTACCACATTCTTGTTTTAAAGAACGTACTTTGAACCCCTAGCATTTGAGTACATTTTATTTATGATTCAATATAATCACATAAGGATGTCAGCGTGAGAGAGTTTTGATGACTGAGGAAAATTCTAAGCTCTGGAGTAATTTAAAGGGTTGGGGACGTCTGAATTAAAGTGGAGTAGTGACAAAACAGCCATGTCTCAAGCAATCTAAATTCAAGCTTATTTGTGCAGGTTGATAAAAGGATTTGGCATCTCATGTCTGTTTCCAGAGGTCCAAAATATTTTTAAGTACACATAGTTTTCATATCACCCTTGATTGTTTAATATTGTTCTATTTTTAGTTTCATCTGCTCAGAGTAGCATTGTAATTTCTCTTCCGTGTGGATTTTCACACCAGGATTAATGGCACGTTTCTATAAATTATATTAATTTAACTTATTTGCCTAACTATTGTTCTGTAGCCAGGAGCACGAATGTTCCCAGATTCTTGGCTGTGTGGTCCTTGTTGCAGTTGGAAGCAGAACAGAAACATCTGAAAAGCATTATTTGGATTATGCATGCTGGAGCATCTAATCTTACCTTTAGGATCCGGTTCCTAAATCACAATTCTTCTCGCCCGTTGTGTTCCCCAACGTGACAGTGCTTCTAGTTACGCTTTTAGTAACAGGATTCTTTTGATAATACCTTAGTATAAATTAAAGTGACAAGTAGATGTAGGCCGGAGACAAATGTCTGTGTCGTACAAGACCTTCCCCCCGTAATTAATAAAAATAATTGCATCTGAGGGGGGTAAGACCATTTTTTGAGAACTATCCAGCAAGTGTGTTTTTAAACACTTTTAAGAATTGTGAGTCTAAACTTGTATTATCAGTTTCTCCGGGAAGGATTTTTGTATTGTGTTCTGTTTAGAAACTCTCTGTCTCTTCCTCTGTTTTCCAGAGTATGATATCCTCCATTGTGAACAGCACCTACTATGCCAATGTGTCAGCGACCAAGTGCCAGGAGTTTGGGAGATGGTATAAAAAGTACAAGAAGATTAAAGGTAAATAGATTTCAGTTATCATTCCTTGCCAAGTCAGTGACTAGCTTCTAAATCCTTGTAATTTATTATTCTAAAAGAAGCAAGTGACATTTGTATAATGAGTGGCTTTATATACCAAACCCTCAACATTTTGCCAAGTACAAAGATTTCTGTTTTGGTGTAAACTAGAAGGATTTCTACAAACGTGACTCAAAGGGGAGAAAAAAAACCCTGTAGATGCCATTTGTGTCTCCTTAGCTTAAACAGAATCAAAAGAATGGCACAGATTCAAGACCATTCAGGCTTGCTGCTGTAAGAGGCAAAAGGCTTCCTCTTCCATCGGGGTGGGATGGAATGGCAGACACACATTTATATCCCTTCTTGGTTCAAGGCAGCTTACAAATTCATTACTAATATTCTGCTTCCAAAACAGTACCAAATTCCTTGTAAAAAGTAAGAACTCCCTAGATTTTCTAACGTTACTCTGTCTCGTTCTCTCTTTTTAGTTAGTAAGTATACAGTTAATTTTTTTTAAGTGCAGAAAAAACAGCACAAGACCTTGATTTCAAAGGAGAGGTCAAGGATCTGAGCCAGAAGAATTTTCTGGATAACTGTGTGTGTGATGTTCAAGAGATTCAGCCTTTAATAGCTGCTCGGAAAACCCAGTGTGTGCGTGTGCGTGGCTGCTTGAGGAGGAAAGGGAAGGTTAAGGTATGTGTGAAATAAACACAGGCTGCTCTAAAGCAATTCAAGTGGTGTCAATTCATCAGCTACACAAGTAGGAGGGAAAACAATGACAAAAAGAAATCCACAACAGGTATAGTTGTGCATTAAAGAATAAACAGACAGAGAACTTTATTGCAGTCACCTCAAAGGGGCCATTTTGGTACTTATAACTTCATTGCCTCTCAGTTTTCTGCAATTTTCATTTCCATATCATAACCTAATGTTTGTAAATGAACATAAGAACATAAGAGAAGTCAATGTTGACTGAGGCCAATGGCCTATCCAGTCCAACACTCTGTCACACAGTGGGCAGAAATACCAGGTGCCATCAGGAGGTCCACCAGTGGGGCCAGGACGCTAGAAGCCCTTCCACTGTTGCCCCCCCACCAAACATCAAGAATACAGAACATCGCTTGCCCCAGACTGAGAGTTCCTATCTATACCTTGTGGCTAATAGCACTGATGGACCTCTGCTCCATATATTTATCTAATTCCCTCTTGAAGCCATCCATGCTTGTAGCCGCCACCACCTCCTGTGGTAGTGAATTCCATGTGTTAATCACTCTTTGGGTGAAGAAGTACTTCCTTTTATCTGTTCTAACCTAACTGCTCAGCAATTTCATTGAGTGCCCACAAGTTCTTGTCGTATGCAAGATCAGTGATTGATCGTAAACTTTGACCTTTGCACACTCCCTTATGTTAAAAAAGAGGGAGGGATATGGGTTGAATCTGGTCAGCTAGCATTTAGGGTTGATAGGTATATGTAAAGCTTTGGCTATTTGAGCATAAAAGCAACGGTAATTTACTATTGCAAATGGGAAGTCGAAGAGGACCGAAATTATTTTATGGGCACTGCAGTTGAACATAATCTTCACTGTGAAATGTGTTTCTTATTTATCCACTAATGTCTCTTTTAATAAAGCAGTGGGAACTAACTGGTTCCTTCTTAATCAAAACCATGATTCCTTAAATGTAAGCTATGTGATTCTATTACCAGTTGCCACATATAGATCTCTTTGGTCAACCTTTCCCCCTCCCACTCTATCGAAATAAACAAACAGTAAAGTAATTATATGTACCAGAAGATCAAAGTCAATATGACTAATGCACAGCAAAAATTTTAAAGCCCTCTGGAAGAAGAAAAGCATTAGGTTGCAGAACATATACTTAACATTTAAACAAATATAAGAAACTGAACAATCAATAATTTGATATCATTAGCAACAGATGTAAAAGTCATATTCAAGGAAGACTTGAAGTAAACATGTTCAGTGTATAGTTTGTGGAACCCATTATAAATGCAGCTGAACTCTTTGACTTAAAATATTTTAAAGTTTTCGCTTAGTTCGCAGACTTATGTCAGTAATATTTGAGTTGGTGGTGGGGTGGGGGTTGATTAACTATGCCTGCACCTTCATCTAAGGCTCTGCAGAATGTTTGGGCACAGACCTCATCCAGCAAAACAACTGTGAGGAACAGCCTTGAACTTGAGAGGGTTTTGGAACTGTCCCCTTACAGGAAACTCGCTTGTGCTATTGGTGACTATTGTAAACATTGGCACTATGGAAGAAAGAGAAGGTGGGGGAGAAATTGGATGTACAGTCTTGCCCACGTAGGTTTTACATTTGGACGGAGTAGGTTAAGTGACTTAATGTTGACATGAACCTTTTTTCCAGGGTAGTTTTTCTAGTAAGCTTCAAACATGGAGCCTCATTAGCTTACAGTAATAACTTTCTATGCCATTTTATCAAAGCAGGGGAGGAATCTTAGAATATCAATGAGAAATCCGGTGTTTGCTATGTATATAATATTTTTTTACAACTGAGTTTTGATCAGCTTAATGACTGATAATTAAAACTTTACAGTCAATTGGCTAAAACAATTCACAGCATGGTAATTTTAAATATTCAGGGAAGGTGGTAGAGGAAATAATAATAATCTCTTGGTATCTCTCTCTCTCTCTGATATGTCTCCTTCTACGAACTTTTTGTTGCTTAGCTTTCCTGGACTTTTCAGCAGTTATGTATTTGTGTCTACTTGAATTTATTGTTCTTTTTTGACACTGCTTTGTCTGAAATAGAATAGACTGAGAATGCTATCACACCACCTACCAGTGCATCCAAGGAGCATGTGCAGCATAGGGCTCAGTCTTTCACATGTCACAGTTTTTACAGATGCTTGCCAAATATCAGAAATTATTGTCTAGTGTTCCTTTTTATTGCTCTAGAATTTGGTTTACTTCACTGCCCACCAGCTTAGCTAAGTAGTATCGCACACCATGTGTTGTGTTCAGCTGTTTTTTAAAAATTATAGTTTTTTGGGGGGGATTGTGGCTTTTAAATTGTGGAACATAATTAAAATTCTTTGTATGCATTTTTGATCGCAGTTAGTCATAGAAAAGTCTGATCGCCAATTCTGCAGCCAGAGGAAAAGTTGTGAGTGGACCATCAGTGGAATTTGCTGGTAAAATATCCCACGAATAGCTCCTAGGCTCCAGCTACTGTGGCGGTGGAAAGTGCCATCGAGTCGCAGTTGATTTACTGTGACCCCCGTAGGGTTTTCCAGGCAAGAGACATCCAGAGGTGGTTTGCCATTGCCTGCCTCTGTGTAGCGACCCTGAGTTTCCTTGGTGGTCTCCCAAATGCTAATCAGGGCTGGCCCTGCTTAGCTTCTGAGATCTGATGAGGTCTGTCCAGCCTGGGCGGGGCTTATGAAGTAATTAGCAAGTGGAGTGGGTAGCTTATTTGCATACCATGCTTCACTTATGTGCACAACAGCAGATAATTCCTGGAGTCATTCCATAGCTGCCACAAGTTATGGTGGAACTAGCCCTTTGACCTCGCCAATCACAGATGTGCAAGTAAAGTTCTCTTGGGTAGAGACCAGACAGTAAATACCGTTTACCCTCCAAATTCTAGAACAATAAAAAGGCTGAGGGTAAACGAAAAGTTAAAGGTTGACAGCAAATGAGATTTCTGAAATTACCCTCATAAGATGGCTTAGTGGGTTGTGATTAAAAGAAATAAGTAATGAGGATAATTGCAATTTTAAAACAAGTGACCACATCAGAAGCATCTCCCATGCTCTACAGTGGTTTTCTGATTTACGAAGCTGTGGCCTAAGTCATTATGTAGCCTGTGCAACAACCTATCCACTAGAGCATCCTACAGCAGAATTCTCTTGCAAAGGACAGCAGTGGTACTGGGACTTCATAAACTCTTAACTCTCCAAATGGCTGTGGAACAGGAGTTTAGATTTTCAAGAATCCCTGTGAAACTGAAAGCGCTGTCTCCGTGTACTCCCGTTTTATGTGGAATATCAGCTTAATAAATTCTGCTTCTTAGTCACCTGTTTGTTATAATTGATCAATGTGTATGTCCTTTCTGGGATAAAATAGCACATCTTCAGTTGAATAAAGAACAATGGCATCTCTGAAGCTTTTCTGAGGGGTCCAAAGATCTGTCTCTTCTGGAGGGCCTTTGAACCAGATTGAGGAGATGTTGTTGTTATTGGGGTGGGGTGGGGTGGGGGAATTCTACATACAATGATTTTAGTATGTGGCTTTTATATTGCTTTTACTGTTTCATTGGATATGTGTAAAACCACTTTTTTATATATATAATTTTTATTGCTTTTAAACTACACACTACATAGAAACAAAGGGTGGGTGTGCACTAACAAAACTACAGGTGATAGGACAGCATTACTAAAAGAAAAGCTAACAGGAGTTATATATATTGATAAACGCTTATTCAAGTTTCTCATATTAAGTCATACATGAGTAAAGCTTCTTTTCAGTTGTAAAACCACTTTTGGGGACCATTTTGAATTGAAAGCGAGCCTATAAGCAAGATAAATAAATGTATAAGTAAAATAATAAGCAAGCTAAAGAAAACAATAAGTAAAATAAAGGCAAAATTACTTCTGCTATCTAATGAGAGCATACAAACCAGCTAGATCATTTGTGTGGCCTGTCCAATGTGGAATGTGATCTGGGCTGTCTTGTTGTTGAGTGACACAGTCTGTCTACCAGATAGGAAAATGTGACACTTTTCATGCAGTATTATTGGGACATTTTAAAAAGATTACAGAAGTGGCTTAAAATTACTAGAAACATATTTCTGGTGGTGGTGCAAAATGGGGCATGATAATAAGGGGAAATTGCTGGTGAACACTTTTGAAATTGTTATACCAGCTAGCCATGAAAAGGTTAATGGCCTAGCAACATTTCCATTTTAAAACTTTATTTTTATAGGGGTATATAACTTGGCTCAAAAACTGGATATGTGTGGAAACTTGGCAAGAACTGCTTCAACCCAGAAATATATTTCTGGTTTTGTAAACTTTCAAATGTATTTTGTTGCATTAATTAACAGATTTTGGTACTTTTTAAAAATTCTTAAACACAAATTAGTAAAACAGTCATATCCCTGCTCTGGGGTAGACTGCTTTGATTTTACAGCTGTCTGAATGAGGGCATAATTTCGCTCCCCATTTTATTTGTTGAAAGAAAACAAAATATCAGGTGTTTGATTTTATAGTAATTTTTATTGAATCCTTTAAAAAAATGAACAACCCTTTAAATAAATCTCATTGATCGCAAGCAAAACTGGATGCCTGTAGTTCAGTAAAAGGCTTGGAAATTTTAGGACTGATTTGGGAGTTACACATTAGCAGAAGTTATGATACATGAAGCAATTGTGCTTTGAATCCGTAATAGAAGTGTATTGTCTGAAGTACTAAAATGATGAGTTCATTTGGGACCCTGAAACTGATTGAGGGGTAAGGTATGCAGTGGAAGCTTCTATATACCAGTGGTGTTCCCACCAATGTAAACCTATGTGGGATCTCAAAAGACGTGGAGGAGGACAGTGCTTTGTCTAAAACCTTTGCCCTCGGAAGAATACCCAGTGAAAACGTGGTGAATCAATTTGAAGGGATTTATTGGTTGTGTGATTTTTATTGATGTTCTGTGTCAAAATTTTATATCAGTTGTGGACTGAGAGAGAAACTATGGGCATATGGAAGTAATAATAAGCAGAAAGCAAAGGGGCAGATGTCGTCCCCACATCTGTTGCCTGTGGGGTGCTGCTGCCCATACTTAAACTGAGAGACATGTATAAGAGCAGATCTGTAGGACAGTGCATGTTCCTTTGTATGTGCCAGTTTGCACACAAGTGACACAGTCCAGTCCTGGTTGCCCCTGCATAGTGCCAGCTTTTCCCCATCTCTCTCTTGCTTTATAGGTAGAGCTAGAACACTGGTACTCAAACAGTAAATCTTGACCAAAATGTGGGATGCAATTCTTTCCCCAATGGGTCATGCAAGAAGGAGGGAGGAAGAGGAACAAGGTTTGCAGAGAGAGGAGGTCCTGGAAGGTTTGATGGTAAAATTGGGGTTTGCCTCTGCAGAATGTGCAAACTGGCAATGAAATTCAGCTGGTGTCTCAATAACGCAATGCAAATATAAACACTAGGGGTGTGTATTCAGCATAAACCAAGCCAAAACAAATACCCGAAAAATACCTTCTTGGTATTTCTGGATATTTTTTCGGCCAGTTAGTGAGTGGGCTACTTATTTGGCTATCTGGAAATGGCCAATTTGAAAAATCCCAAAAATATTCCGAATTTTTCACAACTGCTGGATAGCTGCTGTTAAAGTGCATTTAAAGGGTTCTTAGTCCCTCTAAATGCCTTCGGAATGAACTCTCAGCTTGGAGAAGGCATTTAAAGGGACTGCGAGTCCTTTAAATGCTTTTGGAGTTCACTTGATGTGGAGTTGTGTGGCTTCGAGAAGGCATTTAAAAGGAGTGCAATCCCTTTAAATGCCCCCCTCCATTGGAAACAATGGAGGATGGTGGCACCTTCTTTGGGAGCCCATAGAAATTGACTCCCTGGTCCAATCTTTTTGAAACTTTGGAGTGTTTTTTTTTTTAGGAGAGTTGCCAGCAGCTGTGCTGCAAATTTGGTGCCTCTACCTCAAAAAACAGCTTCCCCTGAGCCCCAGACACCCCTAGATCGATTCTCCATTATAGCCTATGAGGATCATTGACTATAATGGTCCCCATTGGGTATAATAGAGCTGAAAAAATTTAGCAGTCCCAAATATTTACTGAATCCAAATACCGTACCGGTACTGGGATTTGGGAATATTGGAAATTACTGATATTTTTTTGGGTTCAATATACCTGAACCCCAAAAATACTAGAGGGTTTTTTTGCACTTACCTAATAAACACCAAACATGACAACTTGTCTACTGTTGGAGAACAGGAAAAAGCAGCTTGGAGTTATAGTGTGAGCAGGCCCCCTGACCAGTACAGTAGATTTTGAAGTGGAGCGCCCACTTAAAAAACAACGGAGAAACCCCCAGCTAGAGGCTACACATTCCTTTCTTGAGCTGCTCTGTGATTTTTTTTCCTGGTATGATACTACCTACCTTATTGCACAAAATTAACAGCTGGAATTGGTCTTTGGAAGCTCATTGTCTTCAGTTAGCCACTGCAGTAATAAAACACCAGTGGGATTTTCAGTGGTTTGGTTGGGAGACCGAAGCAAACAGTGAAGCCAGCTCTTGAAATTCTGTACTTTAATTTTTTTTTTTTGCTTATATCTTGCTCCTACAACCCTTACAGAAGCTATACATTACTAAAATTACTTCAGTGTAGAATAATCCAGTATTAGCTGCCTTGGCAGTGAACTGAAAGGAGTGCCGTATCTGTTTATTTAAACATCCTGCTCTCTGTGTGTTCCACTCAAATTATGATATACTTATTTTATTTTATTTTAACAGTGGAAAGAGTTGAAAGAGACAACCTGTCAGAATATTGTGTTCTGGGTCAACGTCCCATGCACTTACCAAATATCAACCAACTGGCAACCTTGGGCAAAACAAATGAACAGTCTCCTCACGGCCCAATTCACCACAGTACTCCAATCAGAAACCAAGTGCCAACATTGCAGCCAATCATGAGTCCCGGTCTTCTTTCACCTCAACTCAGTCCACAGCTTGTTAGGCAGCAGATAGCAATGGCTCACCTGATTAACCAGCAGATTGCAGTAAGCCGACTACTGGCTCATCAGCACCCACAAGCTATTAACCAACAGTTTCTAAATCATCCACCCATCCCTAGAACCATCAAGCCAGAGCCAACAAACTCCTCAGTGGAAGTCTCTCCGGATATCTACCAGCAAGTCAGAGATGAGTTGAAGAGAGCCAGTGTGTCCCAAGCTGTATTCGCAAGAGTGGCTTTCAATCGCACCCAGGTATCAATTCTTTTATTTTGTTTTCAGAGGGAGAATTAGTTTTCGTTTGACCAGAGGACTGTTGTGGCCCTTGTCACTGGGAGCATTATCTTGTTTTTCATCTCTTAATTCCGTCGAGCTTTTTGAATCTTTCAAAACTATAGTTTGGTATAGGTAAATGGGGAACTTGATCCAGATGATGTGGGAAGAAAGACAAGACCATCTGGATTCTGTCTCCCATGATCCATAAACTGGAAGGAAGCATGTGGAGTGATCCTGAAAGAATCTTTAGGCAATCTGCCATCCTTGGCTAGCTTTTGCATTCGGTGAATCCAGGCCCATCCTAGTTGTCGATTAATATCTCCTTGGGCTATGCCCCCCCTCCCCATTCCTGCAATTTTAAATTCGTATATGGTCAATTCCCAGTTGACATACTATAAGGAAATAACTGGAAATTAGTAGCCATCAAGTGGAACAGTGTCTCATGCATGTTACACAAAATCCCATGATTCTTTCCTCCACAGTTTTTTTTAAACCCAAAGGAGCCTGGGGTAGGCTGTGAGTCTAAGCAGAAAACTGTAACATGGCAAGATGCTGTATAACATTTTCCACTCCTGTCCTTTACCAGCTCAAAATCACCATGGTCAAGATGCTTTCCCTTCTGTATATGGAAAGATAGACTCCTCATAAATTCCCCATATCCTTCACCTCATGGATGAAAAAGCTCGATTTGTGGTCAGTAATGAAAGAGGAAGGAAATAAGCAGCGTCTCCCACCCTGCCTTTCTACCACTTAGATTCCAACTCTCCAGGTTGCTTTGTGGTTAAAAAAATTGAGGAATGACTCATGGAGCTGGTATAATGAGTAACCTGTATAGTCAGGCCTAAAGGCTAATTGTATGCATGCATGTATATCAACTGTACTGGTTACCTGATTGCTTCTGGGTCCAATTCAAAGCATTGGTCATTGTCTTTAAAGCCTTGCATGGCCTAGAGCAGGGGTGTCAAACACAAGGCCCAGGGGCCCAAACTGGCCCATCTAGGGCTCTTATGCGGCCTGCGAGCTACTAGTGCAAGGGAGGAAACAGAAGACTGCTTGGAGGGAGTGGGCGGAGCCACTCTGAATGTAGCTTTAGCATGGCGGAACAGCGTCATCTGCAGCAGTCAAGCAGTGTGGGAGCATCTGCCCAGTGCTGCACCGCTGGCTCTCCAGTCCGCCCATGTGGGTTTTCCTTTTCACCTCCCAGTCCATGGGGCCTTGCAGTGAGGATGCACCAACTCGGAGTTTACCAGCTGCTGACCTCTATGCAGTTTATATCTCCGGTACCTAGCATTATGTTTTATAGCACAAGTGGCCCAGCCCGACAAAGTGACATTTATGTCAGATCCAGCCCTCATAACAAATGAATTTGACACCTCTGGCCTAGGGTACTCCTACTTACCAAACTACCTTCCGACCTAATCCCATGTACCAGCTGAAGTCTTCAGAGTCTGGCTAAACAGTATTTGTGATGTGAGCTGAGTTAGGGGTCCCCCAACCTGGCTCACAGTCAAATTCACCATCCAGGGACTCCCCTACTGAACAGCCCATTGTTTACGGTGACATGTGTGTACCATGTGACGGGATAGAGGGACTTCAGTCTACCAAACCATTTTCCTGAGCTAAAATTGTGTTTGTGTGTGTGTGTGTGTGGGGGAATTTCCCCTTTCTTAAGGTTCCATGTGTCTCGGGGCCATGTGGCTAAGGACCTTTGTGGCTGTTTCGGCTTGGGAAAATGGTACTGCAGGGAAGCCAGAAGCCCTTCTTCCCCTGAGCAGCAGGTGCTTTGGCCAGTAAGTCCCCTGATGGTACATATGACTGTGAATCAGGTTGGTAGACCCCAAAGGCTTGTGTGAAATGGACCCACTGGCAACTTTCTCCTTTTAGTGCCCACTCTTAGGACAGCTTATAGGGCAGACGTCAGGTGGCAGGCTTGTTCTGTGGCAGGACAAGGTCCTTTGTAATGGCTCACCAGAGTGGGTGTGAAGATCACCTCTACTGTCTGCACTCAAGAAGGTATATTAAGGGCTTTTGGGGAAAGATAAATTGTTTTTGCAGGCCTTCCTGAGCTGTTTTTACCACAGTGTGTGTTTGTTTTATTATGTCTTATTTGCTGGCAGCTTGTTGTTGCTTTGTTAGCCTCCTTGGGTCTGAGAAGTTAAAGTGGGATATAAACATTTATATTATGACTGCCTGCTGTGCATGTTTACCTTGAGAAAAGCAGTGGTGGTGGTGGGGAGGCAGCAACTGAGAGCAGGGGAAAAGGTAACAGGGCTTCCTTTTTTTTTTCCCCTGAGCTTCCCTCACCTTTTCTTCTCTCAAAGTCATCCTTTTCCGAAGCTGGGTTTTCTCTAGGAAGAATTAGTCTGTGGATTTTTGCTACATGCTTATGTGTGTAATGTTCAGTTCCACTTTGAGGTCGTATATGTGAAACATTTTGTCAGTGTTCCATATAGTTGTTGTTATTACTGGTTAATTTTTATTTTATTTTTGCCAGAGAATAAATGTCTGTGTTTATATCTCTATTGAGGTATACGATGTGCATGGGCATATGTGTGAAATATAAAATATAGTCTGTGACTGCAGTTTCAGGCAATTGTTACAGCCCAGGATATGTTTAGATCCAATTCTGAATCTATGAGCCTTGTTGGACTGGTCAAGGAGTTGAAGCCAAGATTGCCATGTCTTTTCCCCTGTGATCTCCCAGAGGTCTCCTTCCCACACAGCACAGGCCAATTGTCTGTTCTACTGGACTAATGATTTTTTTTTGGCACTGCCATCTTGGAAATGCCCTGCTATGTGGGAATTAATTAACGTTTGCAGCATACTTTCATTGCCTCCTTTCTGCTATTAAATTCATCAGATGGCTATAGCCTGCAAAAACATTCACTTTCAATCAGCATGACTGAATTTCTCGGGTTAGCCTTGAGGATATCAAATGAAAATTATAGTGGAATGCATGAGTATTTCCTTTTTAAAATGCTGCTTTTAATTTGGAAAAGCATTTCATCCCTCTGGGATCATAACCTGTTGTATGTGTGTATAAAGCTCAGTGTAATAAATGTAGATAGTATTGACAGAGTGTTTTATTTTGAACCTGAGCAAGAGGTCAGCAGTAACATTGGCTTTGTAGATTTTCTGCTACTGTTGTCGGATAAAGGGGCAGCATTTCAGCGAAGCTCTGAAATCTATATTGATGATGCCCAAGCCAGCGGTAAAAGAAAACAAAAGAAAAAAAATGTTCCTAGGGCCAGAAGATTCCAGGTAAAAGCTGCAAATTTTACTGTGGTATGTAAAGTATAACTTAAAACTAGAATTAGTGAAGCAGATAGACACTGAAATGCTATATATTCAGGAGAGCAAGTCAACCATTGCGGCAGTCTTTTCAAGCAGCTATGCGTGTTTTGTCCTACTCTGAAACCATGGATCTCATTCTTCTTGCAGTATGACTGAAATTTCCAGCCTTTTTCCTTTTGCCACAGCAACTGAAATGGAGTATTGGATTGCTGGCTGGAGACTGGGCAGATTTGGGTCGTTATCTCAGGTGTAACTCTGGCCACTTTTCTTTAGTCCTTTTCCCTTTTCTCTATTCACCTTTTAAAATGGTCTGGAAGCAGGGCTTGTCCTTTTCTCCTGAACTTGTGGAGGCTTTAGGAGAAGAACCGTAACTCAGTGGTAGAACAACTACGGCCCCGTTCATACGAGCCCATTTGGGCCGGGAGCGGGACGGAACTGGGGCGGAGCAAACAGGCGCGATCTCACCTCAACATCTGGCGAGCGTGCCGTCTCCGTCCCTGATCCGTCCCAACGGCCCAAACTGCGCAGCAAAAAACAACCACCTCTCTAGGTGGTTGCATCCATTGGTGCGGCGCAGGCAGGGCTGTGGGATCGGCGGCGCGTCCTTGCGCTGCCGCATCCCGGCCCCCAGCCGTACTGCGCATGCCCGAGCATGCGCAGTTCGGCAGCCTCCCTCCTCCCCTCGGACTTTTCCTCCCCGGCATCTGAGCGTGCCGGGGAGTGCTGCGCCGCGGCTAGGGGATCCGTGGGATCCCGCCGCGGCGTCTCAAGTTTGGAGCGGCTCTGCGTAGCCGCGTTTCAGCCGGCCCGTGTGCCCGGGGCCTACATTGCATAGAGAAAGACTCAGGTGCAAAGTCTGGCACATGAGATCATTGTGTTCGTTGGGGGTAGCTGTGCCTGAGACCTTGGAGAGAGACTGCTACTGACCAAGTGTGAAGCAGTGAGGGAGGGGCCATGGCTCATTGGCAGACAGAAGGTCCCAGGTTCAGTCCCTGGCATCTCCAATGAAAGAAGAATCAAGTAATAGGTGATGGTCTCTTGTCTCTGCCTGAGACCCTGGAGACCTGCTGCCAGTCTAAGTAGACAGTACTGACCCCGATGAACCAATGGACTGATTTAGTATAAGGCAGCTTCATGTGTTCAGTACCCTATATTCATTTGATAATTGACAATGGGTGTGCGAGTTGCATGCCTAGCAGTTTGGGGAACTTGAGATAATGGTATTTGTCTCTGTGTAGGAGGGCTACAGGCAGTGTTCCCTCTAAGCTGAGTTCGTGTGAGCTAGCTCACAGGTTTTTAGCCTCCAGCTCACACATTTTTGTCTTAGCTCAGGAAGAATGGCTCCAGAGCCAACTAATTCATGCAGTAGCCAAATCGCTCGCTCACAACTTTAATGCGAGTAGCTCACAAAGTAGAATTTTTTCTCACAAGACTCCACAGCTTAGAGGGAGCTTTGGCTACAGGAAGTCCATGTTTGCCACATTCAGTTTGATAACCTGGCAGCTTTTACCTAGAATCTTTTGGCCCTGGGAATATTCTTTTTCTTTCGTTTTCTTTTACCACTGGCTTGGGCATCATCAATATAGATTTAACAGTTTTGCTGAAATGCAGCCCCTTTATCCAATAATTTTGGTTGCAGATACAGACTTGCACAGATAGAGAAGTTTGGGTTGGGAAAAAAAAGA